AACACCTTCATTGGGGGATACTATTTCTCCGTATCAGGTATAATCCTCTCCTACTCCTTTTGGTTCAGATCTGGTTCAGTTTATGGTTCAAGATTGATCTTTGAAAATATGATTTTCTAAATAGGGAATRCGATTCCYARTTGAAGGGAGAGAAAAATTTTTGAAATTCGCCCCCTAATTCCGCAAGATTTGGGCGTCCGTACGATGGATCTCTCATCCCTTCAGAGACTGGTTTTCACCTATTACTTTTTTGCTATTTTGCTAAAACTATTTGGGAATGGGCATTTTTCCATTTTGGGTGTAGGTGGAACCCCCCTTTGAATGTGCAAAGCCTATTTTCTTCCTCCTTTTTCAAGTGGCATTTGAAGAGGTAGGATTATGTGAAGATGCCTAAGGGTGCTCTGTGCTGGTCATTGTGGGAAGAAAGAAACTCAAGAATCTTCTCATAAAAAGAGAGGAGCATTGAAAATGTGATAGAACTGATCCATGTAAGGGTGGTACAGTGGTTAAAATCTTTGGATTTATTCATAGACTTTATTATGGATGATCTGCTAAGAAAGTGGAGAGGGATTGCTAGCTTTGCCTAGGTCAAAATGGGTCTAAGGTGGTGTTCGGTAACGTTGAACCAACCTCCAAACATCAAAAATCTTGCTTTTTTGGAGGTAGGAGGTCGCTCGGCTGCACCTCCGAACTGTTCATTTGAACACCGAAAATACCTCCAAATTGTTCAGCACCCAATCTACCTCCGAGCGCATTCGGACTTTGGAGGTAGTGGATGAAATGTCATTCCATCTATGCCCTTCTCTCCCTCTCGAAGCACAAAACTCTAACAATCTTTCCTTCTCTCTCTCTCTAAATACAAAACATGGACAATCTTTCCTCCTCCTCCTCCTTCACCGTAGAGAATAGAGGAGTCGATGAACTAGATCACCGACTGTTCTCTGTATCACGGATGGCGACGGGAATGGACTACGACGGTGCGAAGAGGGTTGGTCAGGAGGCCTGGTTGAGGAGGAGAGAGGTCTGGCGATGATGGCTTTGGAGATGTCAGAGAAGTCGATGATGATGATCTTCATGACAACATTACCCCTTTTTTGTAATGATTGGTAGAAGCAAAGATCAATCGAGGGCTTCAATTTCTTTTGATTTTTTTTTTCAAATATGAATTTCTTTGTGTCACCAACCAACCAGATCCAACTGTTCTTCCTCACTACCGTGATCAGAGGATTTGACAAACAGAATCACCGACTTTTGGAGAAGGAACCAATTTTTGGAGAAGGAAAATAAAAAGAAAATAATAATAATGAACAAAACAGAGAAAGAGAGAACGAAAAAGAAGGGAAACAGAAGGAGAGATGGGAAGATGGGGAGGAGCAAAGTGACACTTCTCTTACTGTTGCTGCTGGCAAAGGAGAGTAGGTGTGCCCAGTGAAAATGAAGCAAAACATTTTTGAGCGAAAAAAAATTCTTTCTTAAGTGTCTCTTTTAAAAATTAATAAAAACTGATTGATCTACCCATCCCTTGCTTTTTTTTCATCTTCATGCCGATGATCGATGATTCCACCCATTTGAAGTTTTTGTATTTATGATTTTTTTTTTCTTTTTTTCTCTTTCTACAAAATTCTAATATTTAAAAAATAAATAAGATGCTTTTTTTATTAATTTATTTTATTATTTTTAATTTTTTATCATTTTCATGCTCAATAGAATATTTAATATTTTTAGTTTGTTGGTTAAGATTTTTTTTTTGATATTATATGATTTTTAAATAATAAAGGAAAAAATTTTATTTTACATTATATTTGATATTATTAATTTTTTATTAATATTATTATATTAATTTATTAGTATTATTATATTATTAATATTATTATATTTTACACTTACTTTGATATTATTTTTGATAATATTGTATGATCTTTTTTATTTTTATAATATTAATATTTTTTATTACTCGTTTAAATAGTATTTATTAGTCTTTATTATTATTTATTTAATATTTTATTGTATTAATCATTTCATTTATTTTTGTTTTAAAACAACCTAAAGGATAAATTTGTAAAATGTACAATTTTTTAGATGTTACAACATTCAGATTATTGAACAACTCCACTATATTCAGATGTGTGCAAAAGCAGAAAAGCAAATTTTCCACTGAATGCTTTCAGAGCCTTTTCGGAGGTTTTCTTGCTTTTCAAACTTCAGACTTCAGATTTTTTTTTTTTTTTTTGATAATTGAGTAAGATTTTATTAAACCAGCAAATAAGAGTTACATGCAACTCATGGAAAGGCACAAGATGCGACCTTTCCTTTAAAATTAGTTACAAAATTATAAGTACAAAAGAAATTACACAGAAGCCCAAAATAAAGTAGCTCGAAGAACCCCTTGTTTTGCAAGTGAATCAGCCATTGAGTTTGCTGATCTTCCTACCCATTGAACTCTGATTGTCATATTCCTTGTTAGCCATTTAACCTTTTTGAGAAGATCTCTGGATTCTTCAACCAACCCACTATCACCCAGGAATCCCCTTCAATAATTAGATGCTCTATGCCTAGCTGATTTGCAAGCTGGATTCCTTGTACAACAACAAGTAATTCAGTCCTTAAAGAGTCTCCCACACCTGTAGGACCTGAGTACAAAGATATAATGCTATTGTCTTTGTTTCTCAGCACTCCTCCTATGCCTGAAGGTCCTGGATTTCCTCGGCTACTTCCATCAAAGTTCAGCTTAATAAACTCCTCCCCTGGTGGCATCCATTCAACCACATGTCTGTCCTTCATGGTAGAAGTATTAGCCACTGCTAACCAGCATAGGTCATCAAAAGAGTATGCATCAAAGAGCTTTAGAGTTTTCAGCCATTGAACTGCCCTTGTCAAAATACGTTCTTTAACTTTCGAGAAGCTCCATTCTTTTTCACAAAAAATTCTGGTGTTCCTTTTCCAAACTATCCACAACAAAGTTGCTCTTATGCAATTCTACATAATTCTCCCTCTCTTTATGTGCCATTCAAAGATAGATGGACTAAACAACAAGCTAGTATCAAATGGCAGGTTCCACCTACACTCAAACAACATAAAATTCCAATTCCATAAAGCTGTAGCAAAGGAGTAAGAGATCAGTAAGTGGTGACAGTCCTCATTTTGAGATTTACAAAGAACACACCAATTAGGGGATAAACACCATTTTGGTCTCCTCTTTTGCAGGTTTTCAAAGGTATTAATCTTACCATAATAAACTTTCCAACAAAAAGCAACAATCTTTGGGGGAATGGGACTAGTCCAGAGTTCTTTAACTGGGAAGTTCTAGGGTGTAGAAGTGGAGCAAAGGGACTTGAAGAAAGAGGAGTAAGTGAAAAAGCCTTTTGGGTTAGGGGTCCAAATTCTTGTGTCAGGTTTGAGGGGATCTAAACAAATAGACTCAAGTGAAGACAACAGTTCTGAAACACAAGCACTTTCATCATCACGTAACCCTCTACGGAAACCAAAATCCCAGTTTAGGGCCACAGAAGAAGCTGAAGAGGAAATAAAACTAGAAAACGGCTCTTCCCTATAAAGGGAAGGAGAGTAAAGAGAGGGAAAAAGGGACTTCAGACTTCAGATTTACCAAACGCCACCTAAGTCTGTCTTGGATCCCTCCCCCCATTGGTTTTATAAAGCTGAACTTTGATTGTAGTTAAAAAGCAATGTTGTTCATTCATTCATCCTAATAAAATATCTTCTTAAAAACCAATTAAAATTATAAAATCATTATTTTTGTGTGAGAACTAAGAATTTAAGACCCTAACATAGATTTGTTTGGGCTTGCCTCGAGGGGCATGGCACAAAGGCTGACTCGTATAATCAGGAATGTGATATGTTTTACATCACATTAGCTATTTTAAGTAATACAATTGAGGAAAAGAAGAGACTGTGGGTTTTACATGCTTGAAAATGTTTTATATGTTTGGTGTTATTTTTAATTTTCATTTGAATACGCTTTACATGTTATGTTTATGTATTTTCCTTGTAGATAATAGGTTTTTTAAAACATTTATTTTAAAATTTAAGTTTATATTTCTATTAGTATTATGTTTAATATTTTTTTTTTATTTTTTTGCATCTTTTTATTTTTTGGCATTTTTCAAATTTTATGACATTTTTTTTTGTTTTTTCGCATTTGTTTTTGTATTTTGCACCTTGCTTCAAAAAGGCGTGTGCCTCGCCTTGTGCCTTGCACCTTGGGCGCAAATTGGTCCCCGCACCTTGCGCTTTTAAAACACTGGGTATCAGATGGTATCCTAGGATTATTGTTGTAAATACTATATCTGCACCTTTGAAGGGTAAAAGTGTCCAAATTGAAATTCTATTCTTCCAAAAAAGAATGGACTGCAGGGATGGCATGAGTATATTGCAAATCAGGTGCATAGAATTGAAATTCTATGCGTGTGGAATTCCATTTTATAGGAGCTTAGGCTATGTTTGGTTTGATGGAAAATAAGAGAGAAACAGAAAATGAGGGAATTCTTATTTATCAAAAAAAAAAGAGGGAATTCTTTTGGAACTTCACAAAATTCCTTGAAAACTTTCCCTCAACCTTCTGTTTCTTTCTTATTTTCCATGAAACCAAACGCAGCCTTAGGCTTTGTTAATGAACCATTTAATTTTCGGTATTGACTATATTTTGGCATCTGATATATCTGTTGTCTTTCTTTGTCGTGTCAACCATCTGATGTATATTCTTTGTATATGTATTCACTATTCAGTCTTTGTTATGGTATATCTTGCTTTTTAGCAGGTGATGGGCAATTTATTGAAGAAGAGAAAAGTCCAGAATAATTGGCAGCTCTCTAAAACTGCTAAACTAATGCATGAGAGACATCTGCACTGAAGTATACTGGAAAGACATGATATGAGTCGAGAGTTTCATGTATCACTATATACTGGTCAAGTTACGGTTTCCTTGTTCTTCATTTTCTTAATAACTTTGGATGTTGAGCTCTTTGTACATGTCCAAGCATTCTACTTTGTCCATTTTATGTACGTAATTGTGAATCTCATTTCAGTTGATTTCACAGTGGTTCTTATCTATTCCGTTACCCATTAAACATGGTTTATTAGTCAGAGAAAGAAGCAATTGAAACCTGATCTACAAGGACTTGTAAACTTTAGTTAAAGAAATGTATAAATTTTGATTTTGGTTTACTGCCACTTAGTGTTCAAGGAAGCTTGAATTACTACTTAAGTTTCAGCTTTTCAGGTAAAATAGATTCTTCCATTGCAGGACCAAACATAAAGGAAAAAGCTAACGGTTCTCTGGGTTGCATATGGGGCTTCCTTGTGATCTAGTCAGAGTTGGTAAATGTGATTTTCTTTGAATTTTGTTTAACAGGGAGAGTGCATTTTGATTTGCTTTGATTCATGTCTTGATGTCACCGCAGGTGAGTTTCCTGTCCTGCTGCCCGTCGTAATATTGTGGATTATTTCCCTTATTAACAAAAAATGCAATTACAGAATGCCATTGAAGTGTAAATGAATGAATACATGAAAAAACAGGAAAACACTTTTTTTTTTTTTTTTTTTTTTCTGGGTGGGTCGGATTACATATTTACATTTGAATCATTGAATGTGTATCCCAATTTCCACTGTTGAGTGTTGAGATAAAACATTCTGAACGATTGGATTTCGTGCTCCACACTTTGCTGGGACTTGGGAATGTGAGTCTCTGAAGTCTGATCTTTGTTAAAAGATGTCTCCAAATCGAAATTCAAAGAGCCACGTACAGTGAACGAGCCGGAGTATGCCTTTTGTGGTCTTATTTTTCTGTAATGTCTCGCAACAGTCATCTCTCTGGAGCTGAAGGGGATAGTCTCGTCCTTGCTATCTCAGTAAAAAATGGGAAGCCTTCAGGAAGTTACCAAGTGCAAGTGGTTGGTTCTTATGGACCCTGCATATGAGATTCTTTACTCCGTCTGTAACCTGTTTATTCAGAAATCCATCAACCTTTTACGTAAATATATAATCTAAGTAAAGAAAGAAGAGTGAAAGGACCTTTCCAAATCTTCCGTTTGCATAGGGAACTCTTCTCTGATGTACTATAGGAATAGGAGGGGATTTCCTGTTAGTTTCTTCTCCTCCATATGACGATCTCAAACTACTGCTTCTAGTTGTAACAGTGGTGAAGCCCTGGGGTTTAGAATTACTACCCAAGACGTCTGGGAGGCTTGATTCCTAAATAAACCCATTAGGGCCAAATACGAGAGAGATCAAAGAATGGAAGATATGCTAAATTACCGCAGCAGGAAAATATAATGAGCCAAAAGTAGTAGTAGTAGTTTTGAATCTACTTACCAGAAACAATACAGTGGCACAGTTCTTCAGGACTTCAAAGTTCATCCTGACATCATCTAGGCTCCTATCAGGTAGTTAACAAATTAGAAAGAAGATATCATTAGTTGGATTTCACTTTCCACAGTGTTGCTTCAGAGGTAAAGATCAAATTTGTGATTGTGAACACCTGTGCTTTTGCTGCCCAAGCCCAAAGTAGGCAGCCAAGGTCGCCATCTGGTGAAGAGATGAAAGCCAATTTTTCTTAGTTTCCACATTATTAAATGGCTATTATTTATATTAGTGAACAAAGCGCAGAACTTAGGGCTTCTATGCTTGAATCTTTTGCATTTGCATTTGGTTACAATCAAAATTCTCATACCTGGAAGCCCTGCTGCGTTTTACTATCTGATGACCACAGCACATTCCTGGTGACATTCATCCAGCTGCACATCTGGAATATTGGCAATATAAAATACAAGAGATGTTTTCAAAGTACGGCTGGATGAACGTGGCCAGCAATGTATTATGATCAACAGATCTGAACTTGTGTTTTATGCACATTGGCTTAAAATTTCATACTAACAGAATAATTTTGAGCTCTTTTTATTCGTTGGCCCAAAATTTTCAGACGGAAGATACTGTAATTTTTCCTATGTTGAAACTTGAAACTAATTGTGTTATATAGTATGGTGGTTATGGTTAGAGGTGTAAATTGGGTTGTACTGGCTGGTACATGCTGGCTCATAGGTTGAGTTGGGCCGTGCTTCCCTCCCTTGGGACACTTCGGGGGGTTGGTTTGGCATGGCCCATGGCCCGAGCCCATGTAGGCACGTGCTATGCTGCAGGCTGGGCTGGTCCGTGGGCTGAGCCTTGGGCTAGGCCGGACCAAGCCATGAAAGGTATATTTTAAAAAAAATAAAAAATGATAAAAAATTTAAATAAATTAACAAAATAGAAAAAAAATTAAAATAAGTCTTAAAATTTTAGTTTATATGAATTTTGATATATACAATTTATATATGCAATAATAAAATGTAGTATAATAAAATTGAAATAGTATAATATATATATATATATATATATATATATGTGGGCTGGGCTGCGTGCTAGGTCGTGCCGACACGCGGGTTGCGGGCGGCATAACACACACAATCGTGTTATGTCGTGTCAGCCCATGTACCTGAAACCCCAGGCCTAGTATGACCGTTCCGTGCCTAACACGGCTCACATTCCATCGTGTCGGTCTGACCAAAAATCATGCTGGGCCACGGGTGGCATGGCCCGATTTATACTTCTAGTTATGGTTTAGTCGAATGAAAGTGTGTTCATTTCAGAGCCATCAATGCATCAAATCGGGGCTGGAACCCGGTGGACCCGTTTTGAACTTATAAGATAACTATGCAGATCCAGTCTTAACCAGATTCAAAACTGATAATTCAGGCTAATTGGGTCTGGCCTGATTTTAGACCCGATTATGTTTAATTATTATTCTCGGGTGATGTTCGCAATGCACGGTGGATGTGCATGTGAGGCGCCCCCGTGTGAGGAGCAGATCCCGTTCCCCTGCCGTTCCCCTCTAATATAACAATTTGAAACTTCATTTTTGATAAATATAACCTTAATAACAAGACAGTAACTAGTAAAAAAAATCAGTGTTTTAAGACTTGGTCTGGACCGGGCAGTTGGACCGTGAATTGGCAATCAGTGGCCTTTCTGGATCCCGGTTAAATGACGGTTTAGACAGGGAAACTGCCCAGTTAACTGGTAAAATGAGGATCCAGAGAGCATTTCGGTTTTTATTCCGGTCCAAGTCTTAAAGCACTGGCAAAAATTGGTCTTAACCCAATTATAACTGGGACACAAAATTTGGAACCAGAACCGGTATAACCAGTTCAGTTATATTGGATTGACCCGACCCATTGAAAGCTCTAGTTCATTTGATATCACTCACGCTGAAAAATTGAATGTTCGATTGACATACAGAAAGATTTCTTCTTCATTTGTCCAGTATTAATTCCTTTGTTTTCCGACAAATATTTTTCATTTTTTACCTCACCAGCTAGTAGTGAAGCTGTGAAGGGGAGAGAGAGAGAGAGAGATTAAACTTAACGTGTAATTTACCTTCATGTTACCAGCTCTACGACCAAACTTCTGAGTCAAGATTCCCAGAGAATCGATCATCCCAACAGGCACAGGAGCAGAACGTCCAATGTCGACAAAAGCCTCCTTTATACGAGCGCTATCGAATCTCTGAATGTTATGTCCTGCCCACACTCTACCATTCAAGATGCCAAATATCCGATCGGCGACGTCCTCGAACATTGGTGCAGTGGCCACCGTCTGGCGAGTTATTCCGTCGCAACGCCTTGACCTTAGTGCAACCGCAGACAGGTCCCCGGGTCTTATCAGAGTACAGTAGCTCTCAAGCTCAACGAGTTTCCTTGGGCAGACTACAATTGCTCCAAACTCGAGGACCCAGAATCGCTGTCCGGCTCTTCTGGGTACCGTCGTTTCCAAGTCGAAGAACACAATCTCGGTGGCAGCGTCACCATTGGAATGAGGAGTTGCCATTTCTTTCCTACCTGCAGAGAAAAAGCCACTGCTGCTCGTCTCCAAATTCAGGTTAATCTTTTTCTTCTTTCAGCGTAAACTTCAGCTTGTTTATAAAATGGCGCGCGCGTGGGGGACGGAACCAAAAGGGGTAGACAGAGATGGAGAGAAGCAATGGTGGATATTCTTCTTGGGTTAGATTGTCTTGTAGTTCAAGTCAAGAGATCAGAGGAAGGCATCCTTAGATTCTTTGGAGATGTATTGTGCAAAGTAATGTAAACCAGCAATTTCAGACTTTCCAGTTGATGAAGAATTGAATAATGACATCAAACAATTTTAATTAAGAGAGAAGACTTTCTCTCTCTCTCTCTCTCTCTCTCTCTCCTGAAAGGTTTCAATTGCGCGCTTCCAAAGAAAGAAATCCTTTTAAAAGAATCCAGTTTTCTTGACCCATTTGGTGAAGGTGTTATTGGTGCAACAGTGCAATAGAAGCAAATTTCTGTAGGAGGATTGGTTCCTGGTTCATGCATGAGATATGGCTTTCAGACAATGGAATTACACAGGAAAGGAAAATTAGGAAAAGGTCCATGCGGTATTATCGGTAGATTAATGGTGGATGTCTCGTGGACATGGAGTGTTTTCTACGTTTAGAATCGCAACGTATATTGTGGGCTATGTACAAGTACTTGGTGCCATTGTTCAAACTTCAAGCAAGAGCAGCTCTCTCACTCTGATATTAGCTTATATTATCATCGATTCATGGTAGTAGGTGTTGAGTTCTAAATTTTAGAGCCAGAATCCAACGGCAGCCCGCAGAGGTGATGCGTGCGGGATCGGCATCCTAATTCCTAAAGCCTAAAGGGGTGGCGAATGGCTGGGTTGGGTTGGGTTAGATGCGGCTCGAAGGCCAACCAACCCATCAACGGTCCACTAACCACCTACATCCATTTATTTGTAAACCACATTTCTATATGTACATAAGTTGCAATCCAACTTAATCCATCCACCTTGCTCCATTTGAATACGTAAAAGTATGTGAACCAATCTTTCTTATTTATAATTAAAAGAATAAAAAAAAATCTTAAGATTCTTCTTGTATATAGTGTGATACATATCCTTATCTAATTGGTTCAACCCAAATATATTTGACTTGATTAGAGAAAAGAAAGAGATAAAAGAGAGAGAAGCCTACTCACGAGGAGATAGAATCTGAAGAAGAAAGAGCAGGGAGAAGAGTCAAAACAAGATAAGAAAGAAGAGAGAGAAACATAAGATAGAAGAAGAAGAGAGAAACATGGAGGGGAGAGAGAAGAGCCAAATGGATGGGGAAAGAGGAGAGAGAGAGAGAGAAAAGAGGAATAGGAATGAGAGAGAGTGAGAGTGAGAGGAGAGAGAAAATAGGAGAAAATTAGAAAAACAAGAGGAGAGAAAGAAAATATAGATTGAGAACACAGCTTTTTTTTGACTCAAAGTATCAGTCATGCATGATTGGGCTGAGACCGGATCTGCTCCTCACACATGCGCCTCACACTGATCTCACAGGCAAATTTCATCATGCATTGGAAACATCTTTCATACTTATCTGTTATTATTTATGGGAGATGTTCCCAATGCACCGTAGGCCAATTCAATTGTGCTTGGATTGGATCGGTCTGATGGGTTGTGTCAAAAAGTATATGGACAAGTATGGAGACACACAATGCAGAATTCTGAATTCCAGCACCCCCCTACTACTAGCCCTCTCCCCCCTACAAACCACATCCTGCCCGTGAATTTGATATCAATTCACGGTCAGGATGCATTCTTCCTGTATTTTAGGGTTATAAAATTCTGATCTAGGTTGATTGGTCATTCTTCCAAAAATACACCCCCAACTTAGGAAATGGGGTGAATGATAGGGCACGATTCCTCTCTTATAACAGAAGCGAAAGTCAGCTCAGCTGTAACCTAATAGTGAAAGGAGTTCCATGTTCCAGATGGAGATCCCTTTGGAGATCTAAGCTACTGTTTTGGATGCTTTTATTTATGTGCATGAGACGCTTACATTAGTATGGGTGTAAATAAGTAATTGCAATCAATATTTTTAATCGAAAAAGACAAATGAAGAATTAATTGGGATAACGACTAACGTGTGGAAGCTTAAAATTAAAAACAGTCATGGAGCTTTTCTCCTCCGTGGGCAATCCCGTTCATCATGATAGGAAAGTAAGCACAATACCACTGTGAGACCTTTTTGATAAAAGCAACTTCATTCATTAAGAAAATTCGATTCGAACTTAGAAGGGAACCTGCCAAGGTCATCATACATTAACCAATACATACAAACAGCCTGAATAGGGATGCAAGTCGGGCCAGGTTAGGCTGGATTGAAGTCAACCCTAGTCCAATCCTAAGTTCTAAACCCTCAATTCTAATCCTAATCCAATCTATTCAACATAAACCCTAACTAAATTCCTTCAACCTAACTTGAAGTAAATTTCGGGTTGAGCCCAACCCAATCTTTTCTCCATCCCTTAAAATCTCATAAAACTATTTAGTCTCATTTTTTTATCAATAACATAAATCTTTATTGAATTCAATTAAGAATAAGCTACAGAAAAGTGAAGGGAGGTAAATTATCTTAACTCCCCCCCAAAATAAAGAAAAGAAAAAGTACAAAATTAGAAATAAGCCCAAAACAAAGAATCCCTATTCCCCTTGCTTAGCTAGCCCATCAAGAGAAGAATTTACAGTTCTTTTCACCCAATTGGACTTTATCTCAACATCCCTTGCCAATCAGTTGAACTTTTTCCTCTCATTGCTGTATTTCCACATTCCAATCTTATATTCCTTAAACCAATTTACCACTACCTTTGAATCACCTTCAACAATTAACCTCCTAATACAGTTCTCTTGCCCTTTGAATCCCTTCCAAGGCTGCTAAAATCTTAGCCCTAAGAGAGTCACCCTCACCAATCCGGCTAGAGAAAAGGGCTAAGGCATTCCCTTCCTCATTTATGAAAATTCCTTCAATACTTGATAGCCCTAGATTCCCAATGCTCAAATCTTAACTCAACTTTCACACACACACACACACACACACACACACACACACACATATATATATATATATATATATATATATAATATATATATATATATATATATATATATATATATATCAGTCCTATGTTTTATTAGTACTTGTTTGTTGATATTTTCATTAGTTCTTTTAGTACAAAATTTGGAAAAATAAGAATTTGACATGACTATAATTTATTATGAGTTATGACTTATGATAAATCTTTTATGACTTATTAAGGTTTTAGTCTTTTCATTTGGGATTAAGTGAAGTGATTATCTTAAAAGAAAGACATGATAGTATCTAGTGAGGGCTATACAACTATCATACATCTAAACAAATCAATGTATGATATATATATATATATATTTGTGTATGACATATACTATAGAGTCAAGTTCGGGTTGGGTCGGGTTGCCCAAGAGGTCAACCCTAATCCAACCCGTAATAAAGTGGGTTCATGAATTTCAACCCTAACCCAAGTATCAACTTGACCCAATGTCGGGTTGGCAACCTTAAGCCTGATGATCATAAGGAAACAGAAACTATTGTCTATTTTTACAAGCACCCCAGTGAGACTTTGAGAGGTTAAAATATACCCTTGTTTACAATTTTCTTCCACCTTTTTTTTGTGAAATTCTTCTAAAAGTTCTAACACATGTAATTTTTAAAATTTCTTAAACTACTCGTATGGTTTAGCTAATTGACTAAGTATACCCCTACTGTTTGACTATTGTCTAATGCTACCCTTACTGTTCCTAACAATTAACTAGTTCTATCCTTACTATTAGCATTCGTTAATATTCCATCAAAACCCGTAGACACATGGATTTTTTTTAAAACCCAACTTTACCCTTTGTCACTCTCCCTCTCCCTTCTTATTCTTCACTAGTGGCAAACCGAGCTGGCTCGGTCCTTAATCAACAACAGCGGTAACCCCCGCTTCACCGTCTTCTTCTCTGCGAACTTATTTTAGGCATAACAGGGACTGAGTTTGACTTAATAACCAATCTTGCTTGACTTTGGTTTTCTCGAAGGCAATGTACTACTAGACGGCCAAGCAGTTATAGACGCTCTATTCTTGAAGGTAGGCCAAGCAATTCTAGACGTTCTATTCTTGAAGGCAGACTGGTTCTCTAGGTTGCTCAGAAAAGCAAGTTGGAGTTTGGAGGAGATAACATACACACTAGGTTTTTGTTGCCACTTCTCCAAGTTGCTCGGGAAAGTGGGTTGAAGTTATGGAAGAAATAACAAAATGCACTGGGTTTCAATTGCTGGTTCTCTGAGTTGCTCAGAGAGCAGGTTCTCCCCTCTCCTTCTCATTAGGGTTGTTTACAAACAATGCCAAACTGACCAAACCGACCAACCCGACCAACCCGACCTGATTTGGTCAGTTTTTCTTCACCACCGGTCAATTTTGGGTTGTAAAGATGGGTAAATCGATAATCCGATACATGAAAACCGAAACTGAACTGAACTGAGTTATCTAACCATGTTATCTCTATCCTACTTTCTAATTACTTACTAACTTAGTTACTTATTTTTAGCATTAATTTTTTAGTTACTTCTTTCTAGTTACTTACTAACTTAGTTATCTATTATTTCTAGTCCTTAGGATTGGCATTAATGGCAAGCATTGCAAGGAAAGAAAAATCCCTAGTCCCTACACTTTTAGAAAGATTGGCTTTTTGCATTTTTGGAAAGATTAAAAGAGAGGTTCTCTATTCTCTAAGGTATCCCACTATCCTTTACACCAAATTGGCAAATATGTTCTCTACTCTCTAAGCATTGCAAGTCCTAGTCTTCTTCCAAATTTCATTATTCTTTGATTCTTTCTTTCCTGGTCCGCCTCTTCAAGGCTCAAGCACTCTCAAGATTTTCAAGTTTCAACATCATTCATTCACTTGGCTCTTCCATCTTCTCAAATCTCAACTCTCATTCTCTTAACTCTCAAGTTTCAACTTCTCAATACTCAAGCATCACATTCACAGGTTAGTATTGTTTTATTTAATATTTTTAAAATTTAATGGATGTTAAAAGTTGATATATTTTATTTGTGTTTTGTTTAAGCTTTGAAAAAAAATCCGGTTATTTATGATATATTTGCACAAAAAAAACTTTAGTTTTGTATGAAAAACCTAATCTATTTAAATATATATTTCAGTTTTAATTTAAATATATATTTTATATTTAAAACTGTTAAATATAGATATTTCAATTTTGCATAAAAACCAAAATATCTGAAAAATATTTGTTAAATATAGATATTTCAGTTTTAAATAATAAATATATATCTGAAAAAATATATATATATTCTGAAATATATCAGATATATATTTCCAAAATATATATTCCGATATATTTGTATATATATTTTGGTTTTAAATATATGTATTTCTGAAATATATATTTCCAGAAAATATATTCTGAAATATTATATATAATATGTATATTTCAGTTTTAAATATATTTCCAGAACCGACCCAAACCGACTAGACCAGTTTTACTTAATAGAGGGTTGGTCTCGATTTACTCTTTAGGTAACCCCGATCAGGTCGGATCAATTGAAAAAAAAAAACTAGTAAACCGATCCAATCCGACCCATGAACAACCCTACTTCTCGTTCTCTTCCCCGGTGATATAAGAGATCTGCCGGAACCATAGAGGTCAGAAAAAGGAACCATCGAAACCGCAGAGGATGGATGGTATAGGGAAATCGCAATTATAGCCTTTCCCCTCTTCTCTCTCCCTCTCGTTCTCTTCCCTGGTGCCATAGGGGAGCCGCCAGAACTGTAGAGGTCGGAATCAGAAGCAAAGCAGCCGGCAGTAGTTTGTTGATAGTCATCGATTATTGAAGCCTCATCATCTGTTTTTGCGCTCTACGACTTTGATTCCAATGTTTGTCACTGACTATTTACTCCTGTTTGCCACCAACTATTGATCGCCACCGACTATTGATCGTCACCAACTGTTGATAGTCACCGACTATTGAAATGGCAAAGATCACTGACTATTCAATTTTGACCCCCTTGTTTGACTATTCAATTGAATCTGTTGGAATATGGGTTTCACTTTGCTTTCCGTATCAATTTATCCAAAGAATAAAATAGAAAAGGCAGGCGTTGCACACAAGACCTCAAAGAGAACAACCCCAAATGAGTATATCAGACTTCTTTGTCAACTGCTACCGACGGAAATACTTCAAATAGAGAGTGTGAGAGGGGCCGGAGGTGGAGGGGGTTAAAGATCGAGCCAGCTCAATTTGCCGCTGCTGAAAGGAAAAAAAAGGAGTTGTTGAGGGATAAAAGGTAAAATTGGGTTTTAAAAAAATTGTCACGTGGTGTCAGTAAGGGTAGAGTTAATCAATTATCAAAAACAATAAGGATAATGTTAGACAATAGTCAAACAATAAGAATATAGTGATATACTTAGTCAAAGGATAATTTAGGAAATTTACCTTTAATCAAGCAATAAGGGTATACTTAATCAATTAACTAAACTATAAGGGTAATTTAAGAAATTTGAGGGCGGGGCCATCGGCCCTATCAAAAAATTGAATCCAATGTGAAACCTACCAAAATCTGTGTAGACTCGAGATAAAAACATTATAGTGAACGACAATAACCACTTCCATCTCAGTTTAGCGCTTACACTGGACGGATTTACGTGATGGATTAAATGGCCTCTGCATCTTTGGTAAAAGCTAAAAATGGGAAAAAAGGAGGGAAGAAACGAGGAGAGGAATAATAGTCAGTGTAGAAGAGAGGTAAAATGTAGAGACTTTCGCACTTATCTGATTCATTCCAATCATAATTAGTAGTTTAGTACATAATAACTGCTTATTTTCTAAATGCATTCCAATTGTGGAATCAACTCCACAAAAAAAAAAAAAAGAAAAGAAAAGAAAAAATCCAATCAAACAGGAATGACACGCCTAAGTGAGGCCATCGCCCCCTTGATTCTCTCTGTGGCTGCTTGCAGCGTGGAAAGGGATGCCGCATAGGAGATTCGAATACAGTTATCATCTCCAAATGCATCTCCAGGGACAAGTGCAACCTGTGAATTCAGCCACCACCCAATTTCTAAATAATTGAAGACATTTATTAAATCTACTATTTAGAAACCAGGGGGAAATAATTAAGAGGAATGGCAGCATGGGAACCAATATCTAGCTTTGATGGACCTAGTTATTAATCTTCTAAATCATGACTTAACAAGGTGATCTTAATTTCTACCTACAAATTCTTGTCTCGTCTGGTATGAATAATAAAGTGGCAGTTAGGATCATCTAACAAGAAATTTTTTCTGCTATAATAGATTCCTAAGATGCAAATCAGTGGTTCTAACTCATACCCTATTGCACTTTGGTAATGAATAGATGATCTAATTCCTCTGTCCCGTTTTTAGGGCTGTAAGTTGAGTTGCCTGATTTGAGGAATCAACCATATCAGGCTTAGGTTAGGGTTCGGGCCCATTGAAAATTTAGCAAATTCCCAACCCAACTTGCATCCCTGCCCATTTTTGTACTTTTGGTTCTCATTAGGGAAAACAATGCATCTGTTTTTTTTTGATAAATAAAATAATGCATCTGTTACCTGTGCTTCATCAAGCAGATACCGACAAAGAGACTCTGAATCCTTGATGACACCAAACCCCTCGGCCTCTACCCCGTAGTAGGAGCTGAAATCAAGGAAAAGATAGAAAGCACCCTGCAAAATACACAGGAATTCATTAAGAGAAACTGAGAAAGTTTTCAAAGTCATGGTTCAAATAAGTGAAAGAATACAAATTGCTACCTGAGGCTCTGAAATCTTAACACCCTCCAATTCTTTAAAGCTTTTAACCAAGAAATCTCGCCGCTCCTGGAATGCTTTTACCATGGTAGAGACTGCCTCACCTCCAGCATACCCTAATCCTAAAGCAGCAACCCCCGCTTTCTGAGAAATACTGCTAGCACCAGAAGTTGACTGAAACAACACCATGAAAATTAGTTAAGAGCTTCATTATACAGGACAAAACTAAAAAGAGCTACCTCTATTAATCTTGACTAGACTTTTGGACAGAAAATTCCAGCCTTGGTGAGGTGAAAACTAACAACAAATTAAGAGAAGCTGAAAAACCAAGATATTGTAATTGAGCAACACTTGCTGCTTCAGGAAGAGGGGGAGCCCCAGGTTACTATGCCATATATGTGGTGCCCTTAAAAGTTAAAGGGCATATGTTCTATGCCAAAATTGACACAATTGATCCAGACAGCTGAAATCAGCCATCCAACCCAGGGAACAATTGTAACAGTTGGCCATAAATTTGACCATCCACCCAGTCTTGGAATCATGTTGGATACTCAACTTATCTGTAAATTTATGCATTCAAAACCATGTTCAGTTCTTATGTATCTGAGTAACATAGTGAAAAAAAAAAGTCAATTTGGTGCAGGTTTTTTGGCCAAAAAGTTTGCTCAGAGTAGTATCAAGCAAATAGTTAGGGGGTCAGTCTCCTGATCCCTGAATAAATCTGCCACACCATTTAATGCAATGGACCTAACAGATCTTATAAGCCACAAAGCAGTGGAAGAATAACATATATCATATTTTTCTAAATTTTAGATGAGTATGAAAAGAAAGCCCAAGAGAACAGCTGTATGGATTAAATGTTTATTTTCTTTTGCTTTTTTTTTTTGTGGGTCAGTGAACCATACAGTTATGGTCAGACAATCTTGGTGAAATTTTGGCTTAAATCTCCTAGGTAGACTCTCACTGGATGATAAATGGTACCTGGCTCTGGATTTTCCCACATGCTGCAACAAAATGTCTAGGACCAGCAAGATATCCAAGCCGCCAACCAGTCATTGCAAAAGCCTATAAATATGCCACCTTCAAATATTAACCCTCAAGAAAACATATCATCCAATTAAGTTAAGTAGCTTTAGGCCATGAAACTTTGTCTAGACCAAGAATGATAAGCAGGTAAAATGTGAAATGAGCATGAAGCAAAGATAAAGTCTTGGGTCAATGCACAAATGAAAAGCAGGCAAATTGTACATTACCTTAGAGAAACCATTCACTGTTAAAGTTCTCTCCCACATGCCTGGCAAAGAAGCAAAACTTGTATGTGTCTCTGGTGCATAAATGATATGCTCATAAATCTCATCAGACAAAACCTGATGCACAAATGAGGATCCCAGTTAAATTTTAGGCTGAGATGAACAATTAGAGAACATGCATCTTTTCCCCACTTTTATCATAACCATATGATCCTACCAGAAGCCTGGGATGCTTTGCTACAATATCAGCTATCTCCTCAAGCAGTTTCTTTGGATAAACAGATCCAGTTGGATTTGATGGAGAACAAAGAATCAGCAGCCTTGACTTATCAGTGAGTTTGGATGCTAGAAACTTTGGGTCTAATAGGAAATTGTCAGCGATGTGCGTTGGCAGAATAACAGGTGTTGCATCAGCCAGCCTTGCCATTTCTGGATAGCTTACCCAATATGGAGCTGGAATTATAACCTGAAAAAGAAAATTTAGAGTGAAACACTTTCTACATATATAATCATTAGAACAATAGATCTCAACTGGTACAAAAGCAGGTGCCATCCATATGCTCTCAAAACACTTTCACCATTTACACTATTAACTCTGGGTCTTGGAGTTCCAAGCGTGTCAACATTTTGATCAGGAAGTTTTCTCAGATACTTAATAGAATAAACAAAATCCTACTGTTAAAACTGAAAAATAAAAAAAAAATCTGACATCAATCATCAAAATATCTCACCTGTTATTAATAATTCGTGCTTTAATGACCCCTATCCTATGATGTGAATGGCCTGGGAATTTATACAACTTTATTTGTATGTTAACTTTTTCTTTTAAAGGTGAAGTAAGATTTAAGCCACATTGAATAGCTATAAGTAGTAAAGATATTTAACTAGGTTATGAAAGTGAACAGTTGTTGCACCACCATCCATCATCAACATTATGTTGCAACATGGAATTTTCTATTTCTGTATCATTTCCTAATAAGGCATCATAAAGTTCTAAAACCAGACTTAATGTACATATATTTGTCCTCAATCACATAATTAGTACAACAGATCAAACTTTTTTACCAAAGTAAGAGGCTTCGGCAGCAGTTTTGCATGGTTTGGTTATGGAACATAGAAGGCTGTCTTGAGATTGAAGAAATAAAATATCTGAAGAATATGAAGATAGGGTTTCAAAGTTGAACTCCTAACTTGACCTTGCAAAACATGTCAGGAGCTGAATTAAGAAGGTAGAAAGAGGAAAAGAAATATTAAAAACAAGAAAGGGATTACATCCTTGGTAAAGGACTTGGAAAAATGTTATATCAAGCTCTAAACAAAGAATTTGGCATGACAATTCAGAAATCCAAATCATAGGCACACGTACACAGTTCCAAATGTTACAAGATATGATCCTAAAATAATTTCATCATGTGATATATGACAATAAAAAAAGTCATTACTCAATTTAGGTCCCATGTGATATATGGCAATGATACTTTAAAATAAATTAATACACAAGAAAAATCATATAAATGGTTTAAGTAATTTCAGTAAGAACGTGATAAAGTAAGTTTTTTCTCTCTCTAAATACTAGCATGTGTCAAAAAATTGGTATCACTTTGTTTCGTGTGTCAGAGACATTATAAAATGTTGATGCAGGCTATCTAGGGTCTAGGGAGAGGTGGATTTAATGTGGATCTAATTTTTCTTTCTTTCTAATATTTATTTTTTGTGCACATAGAGGTCGCTCTCTGATAAAACCTGTTTTTATATGTTTGCCAGCTTGAGATTTTACAATTACACCAAGAAATGGCCCCCTTTTAGTGCATATGCCATTACAATAAATCCACAAGAAGAAAGACAGTTCTGAAAGTGTTTTGCCCAGAGATTATACAGATTCTGTCAATGATACGATGACAATGAAGGTAATAATCACTTTACCTCATCATCTGGAGAACAAACTGCAAGCACAGCTTGCAGGATACACTGCTTGGCCCCATTACTAACCAAAATCTGCTCAGGTGTATAAGTCAGCCCATTCTCCTCTAACATACGAAAATGAGGTGTCAAAACCTTTCCCAAGAACAGTCATAAAGTTCCCAAGTACTTACTTGGTTTGAGGACTATAGAAACTTTAGATTTACAACACAAGAACTAACCTTTGAGCTTATGACAAATTGCTGTCCGCAACTCCAAAGTACCAGCATTTGGGGTGTACCTTGTGTAACCTTCACGGATTGCTCTAATTCCTGCCTAAATTTTGAAAAATAGGGTAGATAATAGAGAAACTAAATGATGAATACCATTGGTATTAACATAGAATAAACACAAACGATTAATGGCAAACAAATTAGGCGTAAGTGAATAGACAACCTCCGCAATTACAGCTGGGGTATCAAAATCAGGTTCCCCGGCCGCTAATCGAATAACAGGCACTCCAGCTTGTGCAAGTGCAGTTGCCTGGTCGGTTATAGCCATTGTCTTGGAGGGCTTGACAGAATTTACTCTGGGGCTCAACGAGATGTCAACCTGCATATTCTCGAAGATGCTCTGTGCTCTTACCACAGCAGATATTCTAATTGTCTGGACGCGTAACCTCTTCCCTAAAGATCTACCAGAAGAACATAACAGTGTAAGAAATGCTGTCTAATAAAGATTAACCGAGAAAAGGATCAAGATCAACAGCTTAGTAAGCCCTGCATCACTACTTTGAGCTTACATAAAATCTTCACGATCAAGTTCTTATATAGTACTTGAACAAACGGATGTAAGTCAGAACCAGACAAAAAAATTCTATAAATAACAACTAAATTCGTGCAATAATAAGAAAATTTTTTCGGAAAAAATTCATCGACATACAGTAAAGAGTAAAGAGATAAATAAATAAAGTAGCAGGGAATTTCAGAAAGAGAAAATGATACAGGACGGCAACATTCAAGCTTTAGTTTCAAATGAAAAACTCCTTGTAAACTGAGGCCACAGAAAAAATCTAAAAGAAAATAAGAAAAGCAGAAAAGAGGTACTCAGAGAGGAAATGGGGGCTCACTTGAGGGAGAGATGATGAAGATGGGAGGAGAAAGAGAGGGATCTGAAAGCTTGGGGGTCCAAAGATATTCCGGAAGGCTGATTTCGAAGAAGACGAGCTGGTCTTGAAGTAATGCTGGTGCCCCGAATAGAACCGGCCATTAGAGAACTTCAATTTGCGATTCCCTCACCCCTCATCCCTCGTTCCTCGAATATTTGTAAGGTAGAAAGCTAGAGGTTGGTGAGAGAGAGCGCATAAAGGGAGTTGGTAGCGATGAGGACGTTAGGTCTGTTGGGCCCGGCATTGCAATGCCCAGTCCAGATGAGCTGAAGACAAAATTATACACACTCGGCTGAACTACCTATCATAGATTCAGCTTTTTGAACACTGGTGTGTCCAATCGTGATAGGTAATTCAGCCGGGTGTATATGTTTTTGTCCAGCAATGCCAACTGAATTTTGGTGAGAGAGAGCGCATGGTTTGTTGGTTATTTGGAGTTTGAAAAACGGATCGGGACGAATAACCCGAAAATTTTGGGAAAAAAATCTTCCTGTCGGCGTGGAGTCTGGGCTGGTGCTGGTGGGTTGCACTACAATTCAAGTTCGTGCAAATAGAAGCTCGAACACAGGTCTTGGATACTCCAAGCCAAGGTCAAAGGACTTAAGATAAACGGGTTCGGATCTGGAACAGGATTTTGGGTAGGCAACCGTTAATGGACTTCAGTATTCGAGTCGAACCTGAAAGCTGCTGTAGTGGTAGTGGAGACGGGAGTAGGTGTGACACAACCACCCACTCAATATTCAAAGTTGGGATTGGCAGCTGGAAGTGGAACTGGACATTGATGATTGATCCTTTACGGTCTTGTCTATGTTTGATGTTCGGTTGCTAATGGGCTGGGCTAGGCTGGGCCAAATCTCATGCATTGGAACCCATGCATTGAAGTTTAACCTATTGTGTCATTTATCTCCAAGCGCTTTTTGCAACTTTTGGCTCTAAATATCAATAAAAATAAACTTTTTAATATAGTTTTTAGACTATCTTTTTAAAAAAAAAGTATTAAATGAGGGCAAAATACTGTTCACCTCATTCTCTCGGACGGTGAATAACGGTGGCAAACCTTCTTCACCCCTCATTCTCTCTCTCTTTTTCACATTTGAGCTGTTCTAAACTCAGAATAGAGCAGAATGGTGAGATCCCTCTCCACTCAGACCTATAAGACATTTGTCGCACGCCAATTTTGCTGCTTACCATCTACAGTTAGCTGAGTCAAATAGAAYGAATAGGTTGTGGTAATAGGAGAAGGAATCTTTACTCTGCTCTGAGTTTGGAACAACTCAAATGTAGAGAGAGAGAGAGAGACGGGGGAGGTTTGTCATTGTTGTTAACCATTCGAAGGAAGAATGAGGTGAACAGTATTTTTCCCCTTATTTAATATTTTTTTTTCAAAAATCATAGCCTATTCTAGAGATTATACTAAAATTTTTTCTTATTGATATTAGGGGCCTAAAATTGCCATTATCAGTAAGAACCCTTATTGAAATATAGATAAGGAGGAAAGTCTAACAAGTGCGTGAACCATGATACATCCCATGTATAGTGAATCTAAACTCACCATTAAATAGTTTTTACGAATAGAACCATTTGACTTGGTTGATTTCCTGTTTTTTTCTAATCCAACTATTGTCTAGAGTAGGGATGGTGAACCCTATTTTTATTCTAGACACGTGGCAACTTAGGAAGGCACCTCATTGATGGTGATGCCCACATTGTAGCGTGCCTACTGTATTTTTTTCTTACTTCTTAAGGAATTTAGTGGCTTATACAGTATGTATACCTACTTTGAAATTTGCACAAGACAATTTTGGATTCTTTGAGTGGTTGAATTCTTTTTTATCGTAATAAATAAAAGTAAAGAAAGTAATAACAATTTTGTGATAATATTGTAATTATTTTTTATAGCACTCTTATAATTATATGAAAATTCAATGTTATATGGACAATAAAAAAAGAAGCTATAATTGATTTCAATGGTACTTTTATAATTATTAAAAATCTAAAGTGACAAATAATGATATTCTTGTAATTAATAAAGAAATCAATGTGACAAAGAATGATAGTCTCGTAATTAGCAAATGCTTATAAACATCCACATGCACCACAATGCCAAAAACATTAAAATACTCCACATGAGCTCATAGAGCCCTTAAACTATTAAATTTCATTTGCAACAAAATGGATGTTCTGTCGTACCCATTTTGCTTTTAGTATGTACTAACAAAAAACCAAAGAAAATGATAATAGATGAGATAGAATACTTTTTGCAAAGATATTATAAAATGGATATCATCACTTTGAAGATATGTTTTGCATATTTATAATGTCAAGTTCAAGGCATTAATGTACTCGATTCCTTTTATTGTTATTTATTCATGAAAAAAAATAAATGGCCTTAACAAAGTGTCCAAAGCTCTCTTTGTATCTACATCGGTATAATAATTGTATTAACTATATAATTGAAAATTGTGGCAAATGCCGTCAAATTCCAATCTCATTAACGGTTTCCATTAGCCGTAAGATTAAATGAGAACAACATTGATTATCAGGTTAGACATGACCAATGCTCTACAAATGCATTTGTATTAGTGTAAATAAATTTGTACTGCAACCAAACACAGGCTGAAGGAAAGAACTTGAGAAAAGAAGGTGAAATAGTGAGACTGTATCACTTGTGCTATTCTCAATTGAAGATATTATGGCTGAGAAGCTCTTTGACTTGTTATTCAGTTTGGTTGTGTAAATAAAGCCTTTTTTTTTTTTATCTGTGTGCCTCTTTTGCTCTACCGTTGAAGATGTGAAGCATATGAACGATGGAAACATGAAGGTAGAAAATGTTGATGGCAATAGACTTGATGGACAGCATAACACAGTTATAGTATTCAAAAATCAATTATGCCCTATGAGGACAAAGTAAAAGATTGATATGAGAACGGTTACTGATCCCTATCCCCAACTCCATTAAGGAAACCTAATTGGCTATATGAAATATCAACAACTTATGGGAGAACAAAATGTCACAGAAAATGATGAGTTAAAGTGTCTCTTTGAATGTTTAAAAGAAAAACTATTTTCCAGAAATGAGAGTATGGCAATAAAAATTAAAGGAAAAAGGCAAAATATAACTAAAAAAACAGTTGTTTACAGGACCGACACTAATAAGCATAAACTACGGGTCTCAAGAACTTGTTCAGACTTGCAATTTCAGTTTTCTTATCCTGTAGAACACTCACCAAATAACTGTATTAATAAAGCATCCGAAAAGAGAAGCATGAAATATATAATAATAAAAACCACAAGTGATACATGTAGAAAAGCCGTGATCAGCATGTTGGCTTGATATTAGAGACTAAAGTATGAGCAGAATACTAAGGGCAACCGACAAAATGTCGTTTTAGCTGGTTAGAATTGAAAAATAGGGCTTTGAACAAATTTCGACTATAAAGAAATGAAAAATAGAAAAACTAGTGCAAAAATCATGCTTAGAGGCTGGATGAGAGAGAGAAGTGGTCGGACTGAAACATTGATGGTTGGCCGAACCATTTGCAAGCCCAAACAAAGAACATATAATTCATCAAAGATCCTCTATATATATATATATATATATATAATTCATCAAAATAATTATATATACCTATTGAACTGAGAATGAAGGACGATTCCTTTGCTAACAGTGGCTTACAAGAGGAAGAGTGAGGCTGAGGAGAGATATGAATCAACCACATTTGATGCATATTCAAAAACGTTTGGGTAAGAAAAAAGGTATAATTTAGAAGGCAATTAATTAAGAGGGATATTGCTGAATCTATGCATTAATTAAGAGAGATGTGGCTGAACCTAAGCATTAATTATGAGTCAATTAATCTGAGCATTAAGAGGGATATGTCCCTTATATTCAAAAATATAATGGAAGATTTGAAGAAATCCATGGAGTGGGTTTCACCAAGAGACTATTTTGTGGAGAAACCCATCCTATTTTCGGTACCCACTACTCCATTAGAATAAAAACAGTAAAAGTCTATGTTAGTTAATTAATCATATTTAAATAAGGGTTCCTATGTGCTTAAATAAGAGTCTTGATATCAAAATGTAGAGGCTCTTTTTGTCATTCAACTGAAATAACTCACATGTGTGGAGAGTGAAAAAGCAAAGAGCAACTTGTGAGGCTTGTGGTGACAGACGTTTCAATTCTCACATATTCCTTTTTATATTATAGATATAGATATGATGCCCTGATTCTCACTGGTGACCCTTGAAGCTCATACAAACCTTAGGATGTGTTTAGTTGCAGTGCAACTTTATTTGTACTAGTACGAATGCATGAGAGTGCAAATGAAAAAAATGCAAATTTTGGTTTAATTTTGTTTTAGGTTTTAATTTATATTGCTTCAGGCTTTATTTTATTTCATTTGTACTGTAAGCAAATAAAAGTATAATTTAAAACAAAAATAAATCAAAATTTGCACCACCAATGTTTGGCATCAGTGAAAATAAATTTACACTGCAACCAAACACAACCTTAGGCTCAGTTTGGAAGGAGTACAAATACAAATACCTAAGAGTGAGTGCAAAACCTTGTATTTTGTGTTGTACATATTTGTATTTGTACTCTATTTGGGAAGGGTATAAAAATGATGGTTCAGTGTATATATGCAAACTGCTTTTGTTGGTGTTTGATAAGAATGCATTTGTCTTGGAAATGACGACAGATATAGATTTCAATAATCAATATATGTTTGCATTCAAAATGAGAGAAAAGTTTGGATCTAAAATGGATAAAAACTTTGCACCCAAAAGCTATTTAATATTAAAAAATGTGAATTCCAGTAACTTTTATACTTGCAACAACTAAAAATAATTGGACAAGACTACAAAATTATGACCACAAAACTAAACCAACTTTACATTTTTTATAACCAGACATTCACATTTGTACTGAACATTTCTGTATTTGCACTCGTCCCAAACAGAGCCCTTCAGAACAAGAGAAAATATGAATGGTAGATGCCGCCTCCATCCATCCAACATACGGAATGGTTCAACCACAATGGCTATTCTTTTCCAAAAGGCAAGCTTACATCCAGACCTGGCGAGAGTTTCAAATTCCGAATTTTTCTTAACAAAGGCAAAACATCTTACAATACAAATAATCTGACAAGATACCTTTGGATTGGACCCAGATTACATTGTCCCCAAGGAGATCAGATTATATTGTCCTTACCCCTGTTTTTTAATACCTTTTGACAGATGATCTAATCTATGACAATTCCATTGCCCGTAAATAAGATTAATCAAATTCTTTGGGCTGTGTTTGGTTGCAGTGCAAATGAAAAAAATGCAAATTCTCATTTAATTTTGTTTCGAGTTTTACTTTATTCTGTTTCATGTCTTAATTTACTTCATTTGTATTGCAATTAAATAAAATAAGCTAAAATTTAAAATAAAAATAGGTCAGAATTTACACTCAAATCATTTGCACGGCAATAATTTTGCAACAGTGCAAATTTATTTGCATTGCAACCAAACGCAGCCTTAAACACATGGTAACTTGATTTATACTTACGGTCGTCCAATAGTAGCGTAATAATCACCGCCATCTCATATCCAGGCCACATTCCACACGTTCAAATCAGACCTTTTATGAATTTGCCAACCAATAGTCTTTCGGATGCACGAACAAGGCACTTCCAAATAAGAGATGTTAAAATTATTAATTTTGTGAGGGAAATTCAAATTAGTCTTCAAGTATTTAGATTTAAGCATTTCAAAGAATTCAGTAAATGCCAAGCTAATTTACCAATAAGAGCTTTAATCACCACAACATATTTTTTTATAATAATAATAATATTATTAATAATCTCAACAGATTTCTTAACACCAAGATCCCCCTCAACTTTTCACATAATATAAATTTAGAATTACCCACCCAGTTGAACAACGGGTCAATATGGGTCGAATGACCCATAACTCCATAAGGGTCAGGGTCGATTGGGTCAAGAGTTACCCCATTGACTCTCTCTTTAGGGTTGGATTTATTCTCCCAAAATTCTCTCCCTCTCTCATGTTGCCAATTACCTCCTCACAGCCTCACTGCCACTCGCTCAGATCTTCTCTCTCTCTCTCTGATCTTCGGTTTGAAGATTTGAATGAACAAAGACTACACTCAGAAATTTGAAATATTTGCAAAGTCTTGTAAATTTTTGCAACATGAATATGGAATGTATATTTTACTGTTTTCAAATACCCATTGAGGGCTTCACAAATTTATGCAAAAATATTTTCATAAATTTTTATCTGATTGCAAAATATTTTTTGAAAACTTAGTGCAATCTTTGTTCGATGCCACGTTTGATTTTATTTATTTTTTGTTGAATTTTTGTATCATTTTATTAGCTTGTCTACATTTTCAGTTTTTTCTAAAATATATAATTTTTAAAATACAAATTTTATCATTTCTTTTTCTGTAATTTCTGTTTTCTAGTCGATATGTATAAATTTTATTTTAATTTTTATCATTTTATGTATTGTTCGCAGTTTCTGATTGTCTAAACACTTTTTTTTCTGAAACTTTCATCATTTTCTTTTGAAAATTTTTATTATTTTATGTATTTTTGCAATTTCTGTTTTTATCCAATCTTTATATTTTTTGAGTTTTTTTGTCTTTTCCATTTTTCTTGTTTTTTTTTTTGCATTTATAGTGCTTTGCTATAATTTCTAATGTTTTTATAATTTCCTTTTTTTGTAATTTTCTATTTTATGAAATCTATACATTTTCCTATATTTTTTGTTATTTATTTGCAATTTGTGTTTTTCTATAGTCTTTGGTGTTTTTTATAATTTTTGTTGTTTTTTCTACATTTTCTATTTTTGAAAATTTTTTATTTTTTTGCAATTTCTGCAATTTCTACAATTTCTATGTGTTACATTTCCCATTACTTTCTTCAAATATTTGCATTTCCTGAATTTTCTTGCAACTTTCCTGTATTTTTCTGCTATTTCTGATGTTTTTACATGAAATATATATTTTTACGTTTTCTGTGTTTTTATGAATTTTTTTATTTATTTGAAAAAAGTGGAACCTTTTATGTTTTTTAGTTGAAATATATAGTTCTATGTTTTTATGCAATTAGAATAGAGAAAAATTAAGAAAAAAGTATACTTTGAATTAGGGTGTCAATTGGACCGGATTTGGTTAAATCCAATGGTCCAATCCAATCCAATGAATAATATGGACCATTTTGGATTGATCCAATTCAATGTCTGGACCATCCAATCTGCTCAAATTAGTTTTAATTTAGATTTGTTCCACTCCAAAACTGGCCCCTTCATTGACACCTGTACTCTTATCTTCTATCAATGGACCAGATATTGGTTTAATCTGACCAAATCCAATATAAATCATTATGGATGGACCGGGTCCAATCCAATCCAATAAATACTTTGGACCAGTAAATCCCTGGATTGGTCCAATTCAATGTCTTATTGGTCCATCCAATCAGTCCAAATTGATGTTGATTTGACACCCCTACTTTGAATTAGAGGGTCAAATGGGTGGGTTAGGGTCGGTCAAGGTCAGAGTGGGTTGTGAGTCTTGTGACCCACAAATATGGGTGGCAGATGGATTAGTGGGTCAATATGGGTGGGTTGGTCCTACAACCCACACCCAACCCACCCATTTGCCACACCTAGCTACGATACTCTTTTTTTCTAATTTTTTCAGGCTGCCCTTTTGGTGTTAGGTCCTAGAGGCCCCTTGAAACCCTTTAAATGGCGTTTCAGTGGGTTCAAAAACTAATACATATCATATAATATGCAGCAAAATGTTGCCATATTTTGAACAATGATATGGAATAAAAAGTGACAAGAGATTAAACTTCTGAACACTGAAGAAATGCTGCAGATGATGGCCAGGCATCGTGCAGCTTAATGTTCATGCAAATTTGAGGTCTGAGAAGACACCAATGATGTTTCTTCAACTGCATGAAGCACCACCTGTCATACCAAAGTGATTTGGATTTTGGAGACAAGTATGCAATTCCCGCCACTTTAAGATGACAATCTCAAATCCAGTTTGACTAACAAAACGATTCATATCAGTTTTAAAATGTACGAGTGATTATTTACCTCAAAAACATAAATTGTGTTGTCATCTTGTAGATGGCATACTAGAGATTAAAAATGAGAGACTTTAGGGCCTATTTGGATGCAAGATGGTTACAACTGAAATGCCACACGTATTTCTCTTAACCATACCGATAGCCAGAAGTCAGTTATAAGTTTTCGAGTTCTATGCTATTTCATTTCCATCCCCATTCTTTAAGGCTATGACAAGCAAGGATGGTCTCTCTCTCTCTCTCTCTCTCTCTCATACACAAATAGGAATTTGTTTAATGAGAGAAAACTGTTCTCTGCTGTTAGGTCTTATAACTAACAGGAGTCAAACACAATAATACAACATAAACAGCATGAAGCTCACCCAACCAGCAGGAAGGGAAAAAAAGTAGAACCAATACAGGTTGTTAATTTAGTGCTTGTATATCCCTGGGCCTAGTTTGGCCACAGAAGTCCTGGAGGATCCAAATGAACAAGCTGTTCGCAGTTAGAGCTAATAATCTAACCCTCTCTAATAAGAAAATGGACCTTGTGCAGCTGCCAACATCCAGTCATTCACCATCTAGCAAATAACTCTCCACAACCAAATTCAATCACCTTGAATAAAAAGTGAACTTTAATAATTGCAGCAAAGCAAGAAATTCAGCCCTTGGAGAATTGGCCTCTTCCATTGGGTCTGAAAAGCTTACAAGAATAGTTCACTCAGTCTTTAAAGACACCACCAACACTTAAAAGGCTGAAATCACCTAAAGAGCATCCTCAAAAACCAAAATTAAAATTGATGATCCCATCACCCTAAGCAATCCAGTCCTGTATAGGCCCAATTTTCTGTGCAAAGCCAACTACTACTTTCTACTAATGCAGAATAGAGTCAACGAAGATCCCTTTTAAGTTGAATTGTGGAAATCCAATGGGCTACCTTCATTGCAATGAGGTCAGTCTGTTACAGCCTTTTCTCCTAGTTGAAAATAATAGCATTTATTTCATTTTAAACGCCCCATAGGATTGCAGCCATTGTATACTTCTATATTATCTTTCCCCTTTGTGCTAGGAGCAACCATGTTGTTCTTGAATACATCCATGATATCAAGAGGGAGAGAGCATGATACTGAAAAGAGAGGAAGAGAGTGGTTCAATATCACCAATATGTGGCTCAACTGTTCAAGAAAGGAAGTGGTGATTGACATGACATTCTCAACATTCTTTAAGGAAAGAATGTCTACATAATGGGAGATTACCCAAGTTTTCATTCCACAGTGGAGCATCTAACTTGTGTTTATTTTCTTCAAAATGACTACCTAACAAAAAATTTTAAGCCTTTAATCTTTACATGAGTAAGACCATCCATAGCACCTTCCCGAAAAAGGAAGGTCAGAAGCAGTGACATCAAGGTATTTCAAAATAGAGGAACAAGAGAAATGACCCAAGGAATCTAATAACCACACCATGGACCTGTCCCTTTAAAAGCATCACAGAGGGAGACAACATCATCACAGTCAAGTTCACTAAGGCCCCTTCTAAAACTACAATCTCGAGACAAATCAAATGAGAGGTTAGAATGGAACAATCAGCTACAGGCTTTGGTGGGGTCAAAGAGAAAGTAAAACCCTTCTTCCATAGAATTTACAAGATCAGATAATTCCATTGATGGGAGCCTTGAGAATGGAATAGTGAGAATGAACATTACTAAGCATTACTAAGCCATTTCATGGCCTAGACAGGGACTACTATTTCTATAGTTTGTATAAGGGCTCGCTGCTGGGCCCTACCAACCTTAGACCTTTTTTTTTCTTTTTTTTCCCCTCCCATATCGAATGCATGGATTAATGGATTTTGTCCATTAATGGATTAATGGATTGGAAATCGAGGTATCTTTCAAAGGGAGGGAAACTTACACTATTAGAAAGTGTTTTGTCTTCTCTTCCTACCTACTTGTTGTCTCTCTTCTTTATTCCAGCTAATGTGGCTAAGAAGTTGGAGAAGACAATGAGAGATTTTCTTTGGCAGGGATGGAAGGATGAGTTTAAATTCCATTTAGTCAATTGGAGCAAAGCTTGTAACTCTAGAAAGGCAGGAGGCTTGGGTTTAAGGAATGTGAGAAAGTTTAATTTGGCTCGTCTTGGGAAATGGTATTGGAGGTGGAATGAGCAGACTACAAGTCAATGGAGAAAAGTAATAGAGGCTAAGTATGGTTCAAGGAACTCAAATTGGGACCCAGGGGAATCAAATTTAACTTATGGATGTGCAGTCTGGCAGGGTATTCAGAAGTCAGAGGAGGCTTTCAGACACGGTTTAAGAATGGAAGTAGGAGATGGTTCAAGAGTTAGATTTTGGAAGGAGGTCTGGTGCGGAGGTGTTCTCAGGTTGGAAGGAGGTCTTAAGGACAGATTTCCAACCCTCTTTGATATTGCCACCAACAAGGAGTGTTTGGTGTCGGAGGTGTTCTCAGGTTGGAGGGGCAGGTGTGTGGTGTCCCAGTTTTAGAAGGAACCTGACTGATTGGGAAGTGGAGCAATGGGAGGAGTTGATGATCCTGAGCGCGATAAGGGTGGATACAACAAGGGGGGACAGAAGGATTTGGGCAAAGGAGAAATCAGGTAGTTTCTCAGTCAAATCTTTTTACAGCAGCCTCTGCAGGGAGGAAGATAATTTTCCCGAAGACCTCATTTGGAGGACGGTGGCTCCTCAAAAAGTTTCCTTTTGTCTATGGGTGACGGCATTAGGGATGTGCTTAACAGCTGACAATTTGACAAAGAGAGCGTGGGTAGTAGAACCAAGTAGATGTGTCCTATGTGGCAACAACTCTGAAAAGTTGGAGTATCTCTTCCTGCACTGCAGATTTAGTTGGGTAATTTGGATGAAAATGTTAGAGGTTTTTGGAGTTCAGTCGTGCCTCCCAAGGAATGTATTGGATCTGCTACGGGGTTGTGTTCTAAGGGGTCTGTCAAGAAGAGGTAAGATTGTATGGAAGGTGCTGCCAGCAGTGGTGGTGTGGTCAATCTGGTCAGAAAGAAACAAGAGACTCATTGAAAATCAGTTGAGATCAGAGGAGGAAGTCTTAAAAAGCATTTGGGGAAGGTTACACTCCTGGGTGGCAACGCACAAACTGTTCAAGAATTGCCCTTACAGTTCTTTTTTGGAGTATAGAAATCTTTTTGGATGATGTTCTTTTTTGGTTTTTTCTGAGTTGTACAAAGCTTTGCCTTGCTCAGTTCCTCAGTGAGCAAGGCTGGATCTTTTTTCAGTCTTCAGTTAATGAAATACTTTACCTTTTCTCTCTCAAAAAAAAAATTGATTTTGTACTTATTTCCTCTTTTCATGCATAATAAAAAAAACATCTTTTGTTGCTAATAAAGAAAAAATAGGGAAAATGTAAACACCTCTGAAAGCGGAGACAATTACCAAATGATAAGAAAACAGAAATTAAATTTTCTCTTTAAAATCTTAAATAGATGCACAAGAACGGTCATGTTGACATGTTTCCCTAGATGTTTTTCTCCTTATTTCAAGTGTGTGCCTTGATTACAATCTCTGATACACTCATTTTAAATGAAATGAAGAAACCAAATTTGTATAATTGGTACTTCTAAAATTCCCAATGGCTACTATAAATAAAATAGCCACATATATATCATGGCATTGCTATTTTTTGAAGATCTAGACCATCTAATTGATGGCCCAAATTTTTGACTGACCACACAGCAACAAATTTCAACAATCTCACAACCCTAGTAACCTCTTTATTGGTAGACTCATCAAAGTCACTACAACTATAAGACATAGTCCAGAATATGAATACAGACATCATATCTTAAGGTTCATCTTATGGGGCAGATTTTAGGCCTCGGAACATCCAAGAGCTGGACTTTAAATTGGACAGTCTGGTATTATATTGTGTGCTTACTAAAGGGTAAGGGATGGCATTTGTAAAATAGATTAAGATGATATTCTTATTTGACCTATAATGAGGCAGGTTTAACTAACGTTTCCATTTGTCCTACTTCTACAAAAACAATGCAAAAACAACACCTATATTAGAGTGCTCTAGCATCACAGTTAAGAGTAAATGTTGAAAGATTATCCAATTAGACATAATCTTGTCACTAACAATACATATCAAAGGTGCACACAGCAGAAGGCAAGAAAAAAAGGATAGATATATCAGGCACATTAACTGCAGATAGGTCCACTATTTATTCAGATTAACACCCCCAAATAAAGCTCTTGGTAAGCACCATTAATTTTCAATGGTGGTTAATATCTACAACACCTACAGATAATCTGACAAGTAAATAGAAATGAAAAATCTATTCTTTCAAATTCGGGGGGAGGGGAATGTACCTCAAATTCGGGTACAAGATGAATCAAAATCATCAGGGGCAACTCGAGCAATCCAGTTACTGAGCGTCCTCTTGATGTCAGAATGATTAACATAAGCCAATTCATACATGCTACACAAATTCACGACTATAGTTTCATTCAGAGCCACGGTCGGAATCCTCTCTAATGCATTCTCCAACACCTTGATCGAATCCGAGAGATCCCTCAAATACATCAAGCACAAAGCTTTGTTATTGATTGCCACCACATCGGTTGGATCTCTCTCAATGCACTCCTCGTACTCTCTAACGGCAGAAACATAATCCTTTCCCACCAAATATATCAGAGCCTTATTCCTATTAACGAGATTCTTAAATTGTACCTCATCCAATAACGCTCCCGGATTACCTTCCGTCATCAAGGTTTCAACTCGATTGAACAATGCCTTGGATCCCTCCAGATCTCCAAGTTGCATTTGTATGTAACCAAGCTTGGATAATAAGATCGGATTTGAAGGATCACTGTTAAGCAACTGCCTAAGCAACGCCAAGCAGACACTAAATTCCTTATGACTCAAATGGTGACTGGAGATCGAACTTATCAGAAAGGCTTCTCTTTTCTTCCAACGATCGACACAGAAGTTCATGTTTTTCGATTCTTTCTCTTTCAATTTTGTCCGAACGAAATCAAGTAGAGAATACAACCTATCTAGGGTTTCTTGCCGCTTCCCTAACCTCTGCGGTATCTCCGCGTGAATCCACCGAAGCGCAAAAGGAACCATAGAACCAGATCGGTTGGGGTAATGTTCCGGATGCGTTTCGTACTTGTAGCGAGCAGAATCGAAATCCTCAAGGGAGTCGAGTTCCTCGGAGGCTTCACCATATTTACGAAGCTTAGTCAGGGCAAGAACGTTGTAGCAAAGATAGATCAAGTGTTCGTGGGGTTTTTGTAGAAGAGAGAGTTTTCGAGCTCGGACAACCTTGTCGAGGATCGACCGCCATGAACCTCGAGAAGCTAGTTCCTGCAGAGATGAGGCTTCGTAGCAGAGATCGTTCAAAGAGCTGAACTGGTTCGACAATGGATCCGATACCGACAAAGCTTGCAGATCGGATGTTAGGGTTTGCCCGTCATTTTGTTCGACGTCCATTTCTCTCTCTGAAGGAGTTTGCCTCTTCGGACACTAAAATGCGCCAGCAGTGACAGAAGAGAGAGAGAGAGAGAGAGAGAACCATTGATCGGGCATACTATTACCTCTGTCCTCGGGTAATAGGGCATCAGGCCAATTGCTTCGGGAGAGAGCAGATCGAACCGGATGGTTGGTCCAGCCATCCAGTCTAGGGGGCAAACCGGATTTCAAGCAAAGGTCATGGGCCTCTTGGCATGGGCGTTGTTATCCATCGGTAGAGCAACGAATGGATCTATTGTCTAAGCCCAACATGGCCACATTGAATTTTCAATTTTTATTGGGCTTACATCACATCAAGTTGGACCCCGGCAGTACTTAACTGGTATACGTTATGGGTGTTTTTAAGGAATCCAGATTTCCTACTAACTCAATTACAATGCCACCTATATCTCTAAACATGTTTTAGAATCTTAACTTGAGCAAATAGTCAACGATTGTTATTGTCCTTAACCTTTGATATTCTTTCCTAAAATATTATTTTTTTCTTGTGCACGATTTCTTTGAAATTCCTCTCACCCTCTCCTTTCTGGTGTTTCTAGAATTTGCTATATTCATCGGACAATATGCTGATTAGGACGTTCCCCTTTGAACCTCTCAAAACCCTTCAAATATAAGTCAATCTCTTATTCAAGATGTATTGAAAATCCCAGCTCCAATTCTCGTTGAATTTGCATCAATCTTGTTAACGACTTGTTTTGAACAGGTTAGAAAAGTTAGACATCCCCTTACTTTTCTTGCTTGTACTTCCGCTTTCATCCTCAACTCAATCGAGTATAGACACTACTGCTCTGTTTTCTTTTCTGCAACTGAAACAAGGCAAACTAGTTCATTGTCGGTCATCCCAAATGAAGAGGAAAGAGCAATGGAATATTAATGGAGATCCATGCAGCTTCCTGAGAGCAAGAGCAAGAACAAGAGAATGGAGGAAGGGCTTCCTGAAAGCATGAAAACGGAGAGACAGCTTCGTGAAGCAGCATTGCAAGGGAATGCGGAGTCCATGTCCGATTTGCTTGAAAAAGACAATCTAATTCTTGATAGAGTAGTTGTGGGTTGCATCAGAGAGTCTCCTTTGCACATAGCAGCAACCCTCGGTCACGTTGATTTTGTTAAACTGCTCTTGAGCCGCAAGCCTGAACTTGCACGCCTCAAAGACCTACGAGGACATACTCCGCTTCACTTGGCAGCAGCAAGAGGGCACCTTGAAATCGTGAAAGCTTTGCTGGATCAAGATTCTGGCCCTGGCCTCTGCCATGCTCGCGATACAAATGGAATGATTGCTGCTCTCCATCTAGCAGCAATTGAAGGCCAAGTGGATGCCATTAAAGATCTGGTTATGGAGAAACCTAGAACGATTCTTCAACTTGTGGGTCGTGGTGAGACCATTCTGCACCTTTGTGTCAAGTATGGGGGCTTGAATGTGTTGGAGCAGCTGCTGGATTTAATGAGTAACCCCGATAAGTCTGTAAACGTCGGGGATGCTAATGGTAATACTACTGTCTCTGAATTTTTGAATTTTTCTGTAGCCGACAAGCAGGTTGAGGTAAGATCTTATTCATTGCTTCCAATTATCACAGTTTTTGACTTTTGTATAGCCATTCCTGTAAGACCAATTAGGAATAGAAGGGACTGCTTTGTATAGCCAGCCCATGGTCAGTGAGCATGACCAATTTCCTCGATAGATGAATCACAGGCCCAACCCATCCATGATCACTGTGTGGCAAGATGACGTTCCAGGCGATCCTCTCACCACCAATCCAAGCTTGCATCAAGCAGGCATGGCCATACTAGCCTACAAGAATGGAGCAAAATTCCGTCGACTATTTCATTGCAACACGACAGGCATTGCTGCTTCCCTAAGCATAATCTCATTACTGGACTAAGGTGAGAGGAATTTCAAAGAAATCGTGCACAAGAACAAAAAAAAAAAAAAAAGTTTTTAGGGAAAGATATCTAACGCAAGGACAATAACAGTCGTTAACTATTTGCACAAATTAGGATTCTAAAGCATGTTTAGAGACAGGTGGCATTGTTTTATTGGGTTAGTAGGGAGGATTGTAGAATCGAGTTAGTAGGAAATCCGGATTGGTTTTAAACAAGCAACAACAACAAAGAAACAAAAGCACAATAGAAACACTACAGAAAGCTCTTAAAACTGGGATTTCAATGGACGGGAACCAGTCCAGGAACAAGAATGATGAACTGAGACCAGCAGATGCAATATTGTGAGCTGCTATATTGGCTTCTCGCAGGACCCAAATAAATTTCAATGGACAGCCTTCACAGAGGCCTCCATCAACGTTGACTTTTAGAACACCCTGAGCTGGAGGTAATCACAAAAACTGAGAGCTTGGAGCTACCTGAGATCTAGAACAGCTTTCCAATCTGAATCCCGGAGGCGATGGCTGAAATATCTCTGCTATCAACCTGTTCACGTTTGATATAACCACAAAAGGATTTAAGTCAGTATTCTCAAAGTAGAAGGAGTTTCGGTCCTTCCAAATAATCCACAGACAAATAGCCACTTAAGCAGCAGTTTCAGTAACAAGCTTCCCATTCTGAGAGATGGATTTCAGAAACCAACTACTGAACTCTTCATTTTGATCAATTGAATCAGTCCTTAGACCTATCCTTGAACCAAACCACACACATCTAGGTTTATTACACAGGGGTTTCCTTCGCCTCACCACATCTATGACACTCAACAGAGCTTACAACCTTTCTTTTCTCTAACTTCTCTCTCACAGGCAGCCCATTAGAACAACACCTCCATATGAAGTGTCTGATCTTAGGCTCAATAAGAAGCTTCCAAATCAGATTCCAAACATCTTTTGGGAGCGATTCTCTCCTTGTAGAGATTAAGGATTGGTGATTAACATTGGCAGCCAGCTGATAAGCTGACTTTATAGAGAATTTTCCTGTCGGAGTTGGGGTCCAAATAAATTTGTCTTCCCACTCATTAGCAGCCAGACTGATGCTACATATATTTTTAACAATAGCTTCAGGAAAGAGATTCTGGATTCTCTCCATGTTCCAGCACCTTCTCTCCGGATCAATCAAGGAGCAAACTATAGCATTTTGAGTATCTCTAGTCCTAAGTCCCATCGGCTTAAAGTTTTCAAGATCCGGAATCCATGGATCAGACCAAATATTTGTATTTGATCCTACATTGGCCTTCCAACACCCTCCAAGAAGAATGAGTTTCCTACCCTCCAACACACCCCTCCAGCCCCATGATTGATTAAATCTATATTTTGCTTGAAGAAAGTGGGTATTGGTGTAGTATCTAGCTTTCAAGGTTCTAGCCCATAAGCTCTGAGAGTCCTCACAAAGCCTCCAAGCAAGCTTAGCTAAGAGGGCTAGATTAAATATCTAAGGATCCCTTACCCCTAAACCACCATCTCCTTTACTCTTAATAATTTCATTCCAGGTTATCCAATTTAGCTTTCTCTTACTCTGGGTATTTTCCCACTAGAAATTCCGTTTGAAGTTTTTGGAGGGTGGAGCAAATTGATTTTGGCAAGAGAAAGCAAGAAATGCTATAAGTAGGAATAGCAATGATTACTGACTTTAGGAGTATCTCTTTTCCAGCTTGGAAAAGTAATAATTGTCTTAATCTCTTCTCTCTCTTTCTCATACTCATACATTCTCTACAATCTGAGTAACTCTGATTAGTTGATTGTCTGATTCTCCAATTCTCAAATCTCAACTTTATTGAAGTTTCAACAAGAAGAAGGCTTGCTTAACCAGCTCAAGTATCTCAATTTGGGAGGCTTAGACGTTGAAAGGCTTTAGCCATTGAAATCAAGTTGGGATTCTGAACTGGCAATCCGGGTAAATCCAATTAAATTAATTTTTATCTTTTTATAATTAAAAAAATGGCCGGCTCTTCCCAAAACCGATTCCCTAACATGTTCATTGTTGATGATATTCAATCGCATAATGATAGTGTTAGCACTGATGCTATTGATATTGATGGAAGTGGAACTTTCACCCCTGGTACTGATACTAGGGGAAAGAAAAAAAAGGGCCTCTAAGTTGAGTAGCCTGGTTTGGAAAATTTTTAAAGTAGAGGATATTGAGGGGAAGGGAAAAAGAGCAATTCGCTAAAAATGTAGAAAAGACTTTAGTTATTATAGCAAGGGTGGTACGGGTCATTTGAGCATACATTTACTCACACATGAGAAGGAAGAAGAAGAAGAAGAAGGGAGAGAAACAACACAAACACAAATTGGGAGGGGGAATTTTGGTACATTTAAATATTCACAAGAAAAAATGAGGCAAGAATTAACAAAGTATATGGTACATGCAGAACAACCATTTATATTAGCTGAAGATAGTAAGCTTGAAAGATGGTTGCATAATTCTGTAAATCTACAATATAAAAAAGTTTATAGGAATACTATTAGATTGGATGCTTTAAAAATTTTTTATTCATATAAACAAAATTTAATTTTTTTTGTTGTCAAGTCTTAATTCTAAGGCTGCAATTACTTCTGATGTTTGGACATCTAAATTTAACATAAGTTATATTTGTGTTGCTAGTCATTTTATTGATGAAATTTGGCTTTTAAATAAAAGAATTTTAAGTTTTACTAGGCTTGAATGGCCACATACTGGCCCAGCTATTGCTGCAAGTATTTTAAATACTTTACATGCTTATGGAATAGAAAATAAATTACTTTCTATTAGTTTTGATAATGCCAACAATAATGATTCTGCAATAAATATTTTAAATCTCAATTAAAATCATGTTTAAATGGTAAATTATTTCATACCAGATGTGCATGTCACATCTTAAATTTATGTATTCAAGATGCCTTGAATATTATTTCTACTCATATTTCTAAAATAAATTTATGTATTTAGATATTTTACTTGAAACATATTGTGAAAATATGAATATTGAAATTGGAAATAAAAAAGAAGAAATTAATAATTTGTTATACAACAAGTAGTAGATGAGAAAAACTTTTTTATTTAACAAGTAGAATGCAGAAATCTACTCCTTATACAACAAGTTCATTTATTGAACTTAATTTTTATTTACAAGCAATTTTTCTAGTTTAGGTGAGGAACAAATAATTTTGATACTTTAGCCTGGTGGAGTGACAATTCAAAAAATTATTCAGTTCTCGCTGCCATGGCACGTGATCTACTAACCCCCCCCCCCCGGTGTCTACAGTTCCATCGGAGTCTTGTTTTAGTGCAGGTATCATTGGCTAGATGTAAAAGATAGATTACAAAACAAAGGAATGCATGATACCACACCAGACATTTCACCTGAAGTAGATGATGAAAGTCATGATTCATGAAGTTGACTAGTTGCATAGAATTTTTTATTTTTTTCAAATTATTGTAATTTTTTATTTTTGTTTAATTTATTATATATATATTTTTTAATTTTTAACAATATAATTTTGTATTTTTAATTTGTAACTATATTGTATTTTTTATATTTTATTAATTTATTCCATTTTCATATTTCATTCATCCAAGTATCCAATGATCCGATCATTGTATTTGTAATTTGTATCGTTCAAATTTAAATGAAATAAAATTCCTAATTTTCTTCCAATTTGTTATTCCATCATTCTTAATAACTTAGATTTCTCATTTCTTATTTTTTCAAATAGTTCCCAAAGTTTAAAGGAAAGTTAAATATTTTAGTTTTACACTTTTACTTAGAAAAGAAATCAAAAATTTCAAAAAAAAAACAAAAAAAGTAAAAAAAAATCAGTCTAGTCCGGTTCGGCCTAGGCTCAAGGCCCACCTTGTGGCCCGGCATGGCATAGGCCCGCACGAGCCTGGGTTCTGGGTCTTGGGCTGTGTTGGGCCGACCCCCAAAATTTTCATCGAGGAGGGCGGCACGGCCCATGATGGCCTGTGGGCCAGCACTGCACGACCAACTTTAAACCTCTAGTTATTAACAATCAAACAATCAAAGGAGCTTGATGTGGATTTAGGGCTATCAATGGGCTGAGTCTATCTCATAGAATCGAATTGACTAAATTAATTATACCAGTTCTGGTTCTACGGTTTATGTCCAAATTAATAATTGGCCTAGGACCGAATCTTGTTGTTTTGAACCAATTGTGTGGTTAATAATATATGAAGATTTCTTTTTTTCTTGTATTTTTTGTTTATTTTATATCTAAAAAGTTAAATTTCATTGGCAGTACTTATATAAGATAATTTTGGTTAAAACACTTATTTTATCAGCATATACTTGTATTATCAAAAATAAAAGGGAAATTGTCTAAAACTCACCATGACTTTTCAACATTTTTCTTAAACTCACCATGACTTTTCAGCATTTCTCTTAAACTCACCATAACTTTTCAAAATGTTTAAAATTCACCATGTCACTAACTTATTAAACACAGTAACGGTTGTTAATATATTACCATTTTACCCTTCATAGAAAAATATAAAATATATACATATATATTTTAATATTTTAACTAAAAAGACATAAAAAAGGAAAAACATATTTTTAAATTATAGAAACTATAGAAATTGAAAACAAAATCAGAAAATAAA